TTGAAAAGTTGGATGACACCGAGCTGAATGGCCGGCGTATACGTTTGGTTGAAGATCGTCGTGGCGGACGTGGCGGCGGTGGAGGACGCGGAAGGTCCCGTTCCTCCAGCTCCCGTTCGCGATCCCGCTCTCGCAGGCGCTCGCGATCCAGATCACGCCGATCTTCGCGATCACGCTCAAAGTCTCGTAGCCGTTCCAAGTCGCGGGGTGCACGTTCAAAGTCGAAGTCTCCAGTGAAGTCACGTTCTCGGTCTCGTTCAAAGTAAGTATTAACATATTGGTCATAAACCATACAATAAAAGCTTTTTTTATTTTAAGTAAATCCCGAGAACTGTCCAAGTCCAAGTCTAAATCGCGGTCTCATTCGCGCTCTCGCTCACCTAAACGTGACTCACGATCACGTTCGCGTTCAAATTCAAAGCGTGAGTCACGTTCGCGCACCCGTTCCAAGTCAAGGAGAGATTCTCGTTCACGGTAAGCATATAAGTAAGCCTGTTCACGCACATTAATGTTTCAATTAATTTCTTTTTATTCTATTTCGATTTTCTTACTACTATTTTCGTCTTATTTTTGTTTATTTTGGATTGCTGTCCTTTAAAACCGAAATGATAAAAAAGCATTTAATTTCGAGTACTACTTTGGTTAAATTAATCTAACTTGTGTCATCACTACCTTTTTCAAAATTCCAAAGAAAGATCCCTGCTAATTTTAACATTTTTTTTTTATGTTCGTGATGTTTCAGTGACCGCTCTGCCTCACCAGACAACAAATCGCGTTCCCGTTCGCGGTCAGCTTCTCCAAAGAATGGAAATCCCTCACCTGACAGAAATGAGAGTATGGACGATTAAGCAAAAACTTATATTTTCAGTCGTATGCTATCTTTATTAAAGTCCTTCATCCGACTATCTTTTCCCAAATTTTTACTAAATTTCAACTATGAGTATGTAACTTTTATGTATGAAATTATATATATGTATGTAGTTTTCCACATAAAAATATTCAAATAAACACTAATTTTAATTTATTATTTGGGTTATTGAAAAAATTTATAAACTCGTTTAGCTCCCAACCAGCCAGCTGAGTCCGCAGGGTGCACAATTAGGGACTCGCTGTGCGTTGCGCAAAGGAGCATATCTGCCAATATATATGAAAAAAATGTGCCTATAAGACTCCTTAAATGAGTGATTTCGGAGACCCAGAAAGTTCCCTAAAGCTCGTACATTCAATGTGAGCGTGAATGTGAACTTTTTATTTTGACCAGTGGCGTTACTTCACTTTTTTTTAGTAGTTAATATAGAATTGAAATATGTTTCAGAATTATAGAATTAAAAGTAATTTAATTGTATAATATGCGTATTTTACAAGCTCACACTCAAATGTGTGCGTACGCAAAGCATTCGCATGCGTACGACGAGCGGGCAAAATAATACAAATGGAATTCCTTAACTTTGTGAATGTTCACGCTCGCATTGAACTTTATAGCGAGCTTAAGATAGTCCGCAAAAACTCCATGTGGACTCCTCTATTCGCCTATGATTTTTTAAAAAAGGACTAAATCACCCGAAGATAATTTAGAGGGAGTGTTTTGGGAGTGCTCCGATAATAATCCGTAGAGGAAGTTGAACGATTTCTCAACATGCTCCCAATTTAATTTATAATCTAAGTATTCGAATTTTGCATAATTTTTTTTTAAACTTTAATTTAAGGAAATATAAAAAAAATGTCTGTAAATAAAATATGTTTTTTTTTTACCTTTTTTTGACGTCCCTTTCTGCTCGCTCTCATGATACATATATATATATATATTTTTATATCATGCTCGCTCTAGTGAATTTTTTGCCAGAGCCGAAACATACATTTAATGCGCCTGAAAAGTTCTGAAGTTAGCCAAAAGTAGTTTTTTATGCGTTATTGCTTACCTCCAAATGCATTTGCAACTGCCATAACGGAAAGCCATTTGGTGGTGAAGATATGGGCGCGTTCAAAAATGCATCAAGCCAAAGCATCAGTCTCTTTTATTTCTAAACTATAACTTATGGAAATGTCAAATATGCGCAACCACGGTGTTTAGCCGAGGGAGAGCGGGAGACCAGGTTTAGAGTTGTGGTCGAGTTAGAGTAGTAGAGGAGGTAGGGATTACCTTTGCGAGGTTATGTATCGAGCTCAATGAGCCCGTATAGGTGCACATCAAGCCAACCACGCACTCCATACGCCTGCTAAGCGGGCAGGCTGATGAAGCGGTAGCGCAAGATATGACCCTGTTACCATGTGTCAATTGTGGGACTTCATTAGAGGAGTCATGCTCTAGCTGCCGTAGGCTGCTGTGGAATGAGCTGGGATTTATTCAGGGGTGCGTTCATGGAGAGCCCCAGTGTGGCTTGTAAGCCGTAGATTACTACCATACCAAAAATTACTCCTGGAGTGGAGTGGAAGCGATGCTTAAAGCCCCGTGTGATAGCCAAGGTGGTTGAGCGTTGACCATAGCCAGTGTTGCCAGGTCTTCGGCATGAGAAAACGTCCCTCTTCCGTCTTTTAAATGTTGCATACATACATACACACAGAATAGTTCTTATTAACCCCCTTATTCTAGAACCCTAATTTTCGTAATTCGTAGCTATGCTACGAAATCGAAAAATCCACATGCTGCAACCCTTGCGGAAACATGTGCAGCATTGCCAGCTATCACTTGTTTTTCGAAGATAGTTGAATGAAGGAAAACAAAGTGGAAAGGAATTAAAATAACACTCATCATATGCTTGTTTATTGTAAAATTGGTTAATTTTACATATTTTGAGGAAAATTATGGATTCTGATGTATTTGCAAGTATAGCAGCAGAGTAAGCGGGCGCTATGGCAATGGATTCACAAAGGTATGCGGAGCTGTCGGGCATAGAAACCGTGGGCGCATCTATGTCAGCTTCTGGTTGAATTGTTGAACCACAAGCCAGAACTACTATGCCTGAAGAACTGGTTCTCAATCCAATAACAGCTTCTTCCAAGCCATTGAAAACATGCACTTTGTTAGGTCCACGATCTGTTGCATATGCTTCTGCCTTCGGCCGCGCTTCGGGATTATAACCCTTACTAAGTAGAATTCTCCTTTCTGGAAGAAGAGGGGCTTCCGCATGTCAAAGGTATACAACATTTTTTGTGCATATCGCTCCGGCTAAGCCGTCCACAGTATTTTTGGGCAGAACCCACGTCGAAATTTGCAAAAAAGTGCATAGTGCAAACCGAGTTTATTAATAGGTAAGCTAATGGTAGGAAATTTGAAACATTTATCTTAAATAAAATGTTAATCCTTTGATTACACGTCTATGTTAAAGTTTTTGGATTCGGGTTATGCGTTTGGACACAACAACCGAAAATCATTGTATAAATAACTAAACGGGACCCAAGTTTCTCGATAAGGGGCTACAATGACTCTTTTGCTCGTTTATATAAAGCAGTGGATAAAAATATAGGTATATGCGAAGGGCAAATTTATCTGTTTAAATGAACACCATTAATATTTCCTGCAAACACACATCGATTTACATCTTTTATATCGCCTCCGACACAGAATTGTTTTCGTACAAAATTACGCAAAAAAGCTTAATCGTTCGTTTTTAGTCATGCCATTGTTACGAATTTCGAAAGTTCGAAAATACGATTTGGATTGCAGCATACTATATTTACGATTCGTAGCAAATTCCGAATACGAAAGAGTTGCAGAATATGAGCGTAAACTTTTATTGTATACAAAGGTACATAAATATTTACGTAAGGTATATTGAAATATCATTTCGACAGAGCACATTTAAAATTCATTGTAAACTGGTTTGAGATCGTTAATGTTTTGACTAACCGCTTGGGTGGGTGGTGTATTTGGCCCTCAAAACTGCGTGCGGGTGAACAAAGAAACAGATCTATCATTTTGACAGGGTGCCAACTTCGACCAAAGCATGGCGAATTTATATAAGGTGGTGTTCACCTTGGTGGTGTTACTAGCTCAGCTGATTTTGTGGATGTGTTTCGCCGCACGGCTTCTGATATCAAATTGAAAAATTTTGTTTGAATTTCTATACACACTTACAGATTTTGACAGTTTATGCCGCCAAAGCAATAACAAAAAATGTAAATTTTTGTTTTTGTACTCCTGCTATCACCTTATATTAATTCGCCTTGGGCGAATCTGTACAAGGTGGTCTTATCGTATTTTTGTTCTGTTAACACCACCTTGTATAAATTCGCCTTGGACCAAAGCCAATCACAAGGCGTATTAATAGGTGCGTTCGCGTAGCTGTTAATTGTTCAAGTTTAACCAAAACTTACAGGTTTTTGCGTTCGCGTACGCAAAAAACTTGCAAAGTAGGGGAAATTGAGAGAGCAAAGTGACATTTCATTTTGAGGGGAAGCTGTTAGTTTCTGTTGGAAAAATATTTGCCAACAGCAATTCGCCAGCAGGGAAACAGCTGATCAAAAACAGCTGGTTGGCATTTACGCAAATCACAAACTTGAATTTGATGGTTTGGAAGATAAAAATTACAAAATGCGACTAATTAAACTTGTAAGAAATAAGTGGTTATTTGTTTAATCAATAAACTGTGTCAGTATAACACTTTGCCACGACTTTTCGTACGTTTTAAATTTTACACTTTTGTATGTAAACAAAAATTATATCAGCTGTTCGTCTAACTTGCAAGTTTCTGCAAATTTTCTGTTCGCGTACTATTTTGGATATTTCTCTCTTGTGGGAGAACAGATGACATTTCGCCGGAATTTGGCAGTTGGTTGGTTTCTGCTGGAGATTTTAAACGAACGCACCTTATACAAGGTGGTGTTGATGGCGATTTTAGATTTTCGCCGAGGTACGTCTTAATGTCAAAATGATGTGTTTGTTGTAAAATGAATTCGCCTTGTTTAAAACAAACATCATTTTGACATTCAGTAGTACCGCGGCGAAAATTTAATTCGCCATCAACACCACCTTGTATAAATTCGCCTTGGCCAATCAGCTGTTGCCTTTCATTTTGCAAAAGAGATGGGCAAAATTGTAACAAAAGATTTGCATTCACACCTACTCAAATCAAGAAAAAAGCTGCATTGAAAAAGATAGGTAAATACCCGTCTATTTCTGGCGGAGCAGTGCTCTAACCAAACCGACACCTTTAAAAATGCGTCGCCGTGCCGGTCTAGGTGCCATTCAACAACAGCAGTTAGCTGCTGAGAAGTATAAGGATAAATTTACAGATTTGCAGGAATCGCAGTTTGAGCAAATGTCCAAACAGATGGACGTATTTCGTGCAAAGTTAGAAGAATTTGCGGTGAAACATAAGCAGGATATCCGCAAAAACTCGCAGTTTCGTAAACAATTTCAAGAAATGTGTGCGGCGATCGGAGTTGATCCCCTTGCTACAGGCAAGGGCTTCTGGAGTGTCCTCGGAATAGGTGATTTCTATTACGAATTGGGGGTACAAGTTGTTGAAGTGTGCTTGGCGTCAAATCATAAAACAGGTAAATATGTATTAACATTCTTAGAAAACAGTTTACAAAATAACTCCTCACCTTATTGCCCGGATCTCATCATTCACGTAGCATGCGAGTGCAATGATCCAGCTCGGCACTGGACTGGAATGATGACCGTTATACGATGTTCGCACGAGGCGATTTTACAGGCAACTTTTAGTTGGAAGCAAAAATCGTCTGGTGTAGATAGATAGATAAATTATGAGGTATGCACTGCCACCTGATGGTCTGTTGTGCCCTCCACTCTTCACAATACTTCCTCCAAGCCAAGATCCCCCAGGAAGTCCAAAAGCTTCTTTGGGGATAAGGAGTGTATGTGCTCTAACTGTGGCCACATGGAGCATAGACTCCTCTCACGTCTTCTGCTGACTGCATCACACTCGATGAGGATGTGGAGTGGCGTTTCACTGGAGACGTCGCAGAATCGCCTGGCGTGATCGGCCTTTCAACTAATCACTTTCAATGAAGTTGGGGTGCAGTAAACTTTTGCTTCAACTAATCGCCTCTAAAATTGCCAGGGGAATCACCTCACGCGAACACCGTATTAATCTTAAAGGTCTCTTCACATACATCAATCACGTCACAATTCCGTAACGGCTCCGAATCGTCACCAAGGAAGCCCTCACCGTTTAGTCTCAGTGAAAATAACAGTTGTATTCAGCGTTGCCGTTTTGGTCAAATAGGACCGAAATTGATAGCTTAATTTTCTTTTGGTTGTTGTTGTTGTAGTGGCTACAACAACCCCGCCCAGATCGGTTAGTCCCTCAATCGTTGTCATCAAGCTCCACTAACGACAGCCCAAGGAAGCGCGCATACGATGCTGTGAGTCATGGGGCGACTTTCCGCATGCCGGGCATTCGTTGGGAATGTCTTCGTTTAATCTGCTCAGGTATGAGTTCAACCTGTTGCAGTAACCAGAGCGCAGTTGGGCTATTGTGGTCCGAGTCTCACGAGGCAGACGAAGTTCGCTCTCGTCCACGTCTGGTGGTTGTGTGCTCAGAACGACGTTCACAGGTCGGGAGTCTACATAACTTGACACTGCCTCTTATGATGTTATGGCCTGTCGATAAGCTGTCGGGTCCAGAGGTTGTTTGATGAACCTTTGGACTTCGTCCGTCAGTTCGTAAAGATGCCTCCTTACGTGCCTGGGCGAAGGCTCCGCCAACAACTCCTGGTTCCCCCTACAATCTGCACGGTATGTCAGACCAGAATATTCCGTAATGTGACATCAGTCAAGTGCAACACCTGCCTTGGCTGGTGCCACTTTAGGGCATGCTCAGGTCTGCGTACCACGCGAGATTGGACGGGGAACTTCGAGGGCCCGTGTTGCGCTGCTCGGTCGCAGACTTCAATTGCGACGCCCCCCACCACCACCACAGGGCGGCAATCACCTCAGCAGCACAGACAGCCAACGGCGGCAAGAACATACACCTCACTTACACCCCACATCACGACACGTCTCCCGAACCACATGAAGCTCCTTCAATTCAACTGTAACGGGCTACAGAGCAAGATTGAGGAGATAACCGTCTTCATGTGTCGGCATGGTATATTAATAGCTGCGGTCCAAGAGACGAAGTTGCACAGCAATTCAACTTGGTTTGCTTTGTGGCTTAGCGTTCATCACGCACCACACCGTGCAGTATCGTCTTATCGAAGCAGACATCGACCGCAGGGATACCACCCTAGAATGTCAGGGCATCGCTATCCGGTCAGGCGATGTCGAGCTCGAAATATTTAACATATACATACCCCCTGTCACCTGCTGCCCGGCAGGATATCACCCTGATATAGGTGCGCTCCTCAGAGGTGAAAACCGTATGGTAGTAGGTGACTTTAATGCGCACCACGATCTTTGGCACTCAAGCCTGTCAAACGATCGTAGGGGAACAGACTTGGCTGAGCAGATAGACGATTCGACATTCTGCACAATGAACGACGACGCACCCACCAGGATTATGGGTAACTGCAGTAGCTCGCCAGACATCACAATAGTCAGCGCTGGTCTGATAAACAGCATAACGTGGCGACCTATGCTGACTCTAGCATCAGACCATCTACCCATAGTCATCTCGATTGATAAACCAACCGACTTTGCCTCCGCCAAACACCGGACCTATATCAACTTTTCTAAAGCTGATTGGAAAGGTTACGCGGAGTTTACCGAAAACACCTTCGCAGCGCTCCCCACACCAACCGACGTCCATCTCGGTGAACGTAAGTTCCGCAGGGCTATCACTGCTGCTGCAGCTCGCTTCATACCGGCAGGATGTATATCGGACCCACGTCCAAACTTCCCTGCCGAAGCGGCTGTTCTAGCCGATGAGCGTGATAGCCTTCGTCAGGCCGATCCCGGAGATCCACGTATCAGGGATCTCAACGCGGAGATTCGGCAACTTGTAAACGTACATAAGCGGAAGAAGTGGGAGGAGCATCTGAAGACTTGTAATTTCACCTCTGGTGTGAGCAAGCTTTGGTCAACCGTGAGGTCATTGTCTAATCCGACGAAGCACGACGACAGAGTCGAAATTTACTTCGGCGATGATGCCTCGTCGGACCCGGAGCGATGCGCGAGCTATTTTAGCCGGCAGTTCATACTGCATCCTCCGGTGGATAAAGCCAAGCGTCGAGTGACCAGAAGGCTGCACAAACTGCCAACTACTTGTGCCCCCCTTGCTTTCACTTGCGGTGAAGTTCAGGTGGCCATCGGGAAGGCGAAAGCCTCCAAAGCCATGGGTCCCGACGGAATATGCATGCTGATGCTGAAAAATTTGGGTCCTGCGGGGGTAGCGTACCTAACGGAGGTCCTCAACCTGTCAATGGGCACTCTCATCATCCCAGACATCTGGAAGGTGGGGAGAGTGGTCCCACTGCTCAAACCGGGGAAACCCGCCAACAAAGGAGATTCGTATCGTCCGATTACACTCCTTTCCCCGGTAGCGAAGACACTCGAGGCCTTGCTACACCCGTACTTCACAAACCACCTGACCCCAGCGAAGCATCAGCATGGTTTCCGTAAAGTGCACAGTACAACAACAGCACTTAACGCCATAAACACTCAGATAACTCGTGGCCTTAACCGTAACCGTCCCTGTGAGAGAACGATTCTAGTAGCGTTGGACTTGTCAAAGGCGTTTGACACCGTCTGCCATTCCACGCTACTAGAAGATATAGAGGCCTCCTCTCTCCCACAGAGGCTCAAATGGTGGTCGGCAAATTATCTGAGTGGTCGACATTCGTCGGTAATATTTAGAGACAAAACGAGTAAGCAGCGAAAAATAAAACAGGGGGTTCCTCAGGGTGGTGTCCTTTCCCCGCTACTGTTTAACTTTTATATTTCAAAGCTCCTTCAACCACCAGAGGGAGTCTCGATTGTCTCATATGCCGACGATTGTCTATCATGGCGACTGGGAATGGAATTGATGACCTGTGTTCGAAAGTAAACGGCTATCTCTCCGAACTTTCTCGCTTCTTCACTGCAAAGTGTCTACCCCTCTCCCCTACGAAATCCTCCGCGACCCTGTTCACAACCTGGACGAAGGAGGTCAGGCTACCGCTGGGGATTCACGTCGATGACACCAATTCCGACGGTGAATAACCCCAAAATACTCGGAGTAACATTCGACAGCCTGCTCTCCTTCTCTGCGCACTCAACCGCTATTGTCAATAAAGTACAGAGCCGCAACAAGGTCCTCAAGTCGCTAGCCGGCAGTACTTGGGGCAAAGACAAAGAAACGTTGCTGGCAACATACAAGGCAATAGGCCGCCGGTTTTGAACTACGCAGCGCCAGTGTGGTCGCCAGGGACTAGTAGGACGCAGTGGACGAAGCTACAGACGGTACAAAATACGGCACTTAGGACAGCGACGGGATGCCTCTTGATGTCGCCTGAACACCACCTGCACGGCGAGGCGCAAATGCTCCCTGTTAAGGAGCATAACATAATGCTCTGCAAGCAGTTCCTGATCGGGAGCCACAGAAGTGGCCACCCAAGCAGACAGCTGCTTGCAGAGGAGCCCTCGCCTAGGCACGTCAGGAGGCATCTATATGAACTGACGGACGAAGTCCAGAGGTTCATTAAGCAACCTCTGGACCCGACAGCGTACAGACAGGCCCTGAACGGCATTCACAGGGACTCAGTCTCGAGTTATGTAGACTCTAGACCTGTGAATGCCGTTCTAGGCATACCACCCCCGGACATACGACGAGACAGAGCTTCATCTGCCTCGGGAGACACGCACTACACTCGCACAACTTCGCTCCGGCTACTGCAGCAGGTTGAACTCCTACTTGAGTAGGTTGAATGAGGATGTGCCGAATGAGTGTCCGGCATGCGGACAGACCCCACATGACTCGAAACATCTCTTCGCATGCCCGGAAAACCCGACAACCCTAACGGCCTTCTCCCTGTGGACAAATCCCACAGAAGCTGCACGCTTCCTAGGGTTGCCGTTAGTGGAACTTGACGACAACGACTGAGATACCAACCGATCAGGGCGGGGTTGTTGTAGCCGCTACAACAACAACAACAACAGTCGAGACTCCCTCTGGTGGTTGAGGGAGCTTTGAAATGTAAAAGTTAAACAGTAATGGGGAAAGGACATTACCCTGTGGAACCCACTGTTTTATTTTCCTCGGTTTGCTCGATTTGTCTCTAAAAGTTACTGACGAGTGACGACCCCTCAGATAATTCGCCGTCCACCGTTTGGATCCCTGTGGGATCTATGTCTTCTAGTAACGTTGAATGGCTGACAGTGTCGAACGCCTCAGACAGGTCCAGGGGCGCTTTCGGTTTAGGCCGCGAGTTATCTGGGTATTTATGGCGTTAAGTGCTGTTGTTGTGCTGTGCATTTTACGGAACCCATGCTGATGCTTCGCTGGGGTCAGGTGGTTTGTAAAATACGGGAGTAGAAAGGCCTTTCTTTTGGTAGTTTGGTTGGTTTGATGAAGCTTTCGGTATGCAAAAATATTTTGAAAATGCAACCAAATTGATAACTAAATTTGTTCGCTTACCAGCCACAAAAAAATCCGAAAATGGGTCTGTAAAAGAAAAAAGTGGATAAAATGCGGATTTTTGTCCGTTTACCGATTCCATTTTCGGATACTTTTACCACTAACGTATGCGGCACAAACGTATGTACAGACAGGTACCGGAATCTTGTCACCGCGATTCCAGGTACGTTGGTAATGCAGTGAAAATATTCACCGGTTCAGCTATGAAGATTTGTGGAAATTCTTGTGTTGCATATTTCACGAGGCAATATTTTGTTACCAGTTTATGAGATGGTAACCAAATTTACTGGTTACAACAGCGCACGGAATGCGAAAAAGGTTTAAAAATTGACACAGTTTAATTACCGGTTACAAACTTTATGTTACCAGCGCAGAATAGACCTGTAACAGGTTTTATGCTTAAAAATTACTTGTTTGTGTTTAATTTTTCGCACTTAAGTATCTGGGGATTGTTCTCAACTCCACTTAACCAAAGCGTTTTCCAAAGTTTTTGTTAAATCTTGAATTTTCCAAATTGAGGCTACACCAACCATTTATCGATGACGCCAACGAAATCATAATAAGGCTGGATGACTATTGTTTAAAAGTGAACGGTTAACTCATTAAATTGTTTAAATTCATTATTAATTAGAGATCTTCCACAACTCCACATTAAAATGTTGACATACATTTAACTATCTGCTCTTTAAGGTGGTCTAATGGAATTGAATGAGTTACGTGGACGCCTGATAGCTGCTCGTGGGCAGAGTGTAGTTCACCAAGAAATAACAAATGAAGACATTTTAATGGCCGCAAAAAAGTTAACCATTTTTGGGAACGGGTAAGATTTTTTTATAAAGGCTTAAACTAAATTAAATACTATTGACTTAAATTGCATAAGCTTTGTTGTGCATAAAGTGGGTAAAGGAAAATACATGGTGCAATCGATACCAGGAGAGCTTAGTATGGAAGAAACTAAAATACTAACCGCGGCTTCCAATACAGAATTGGGATGCGTAACACTGCAAATGCTTACAGAGCAACTTGGGTATGTATAAATTGCTCGATCATTAAGAAATCGTATGGCTAAATCATGTCCTATATCCAGATGGAGTGAATTTCGCACCAAACAAGCGATTGATAAAACCGTAAGTGAAGGTTTGTGTTGGATTGACAAGCAGGATGGCGAACATATCTACTGGTTTCCAAGCTTATTTCCTGGTCGATATGCACAAAGCGTTTGATTAACGAGGTGCCATCCTGTATAAAATATAATTATATACATATATACATATAATTATAAAATAAATTTACGTGTCTATTCTATTTAATACACACATACATACATATGTACATAATTACACGGAAAATATATGGTATTATTTAAAACAATAGTTCACAGATAAATTTATAACGCTTAAAAATATTGTCATTTTATAAAAAATATCCCACTAAAGAGCCATATTATCGCAAGTAGATATATAAAATGTAATACAACATCAATCACCGTCGGAATTATAACCCTTTTTTAGTTGTATAATTTGATTTTCCGCCTTAAGCTTCGCATTTTCTCTTTGCAGGTGGTAGATTTGGCCTTCAAAATTTTTCGTTATATCCTTCAGAGTATTTCTGTACCTAAAAGATCCAAAGCTTGTTTATTATTTGATGCTGCATGTGCTTTGCTTAAAAAGAAAAAGTAAGGACAGTGCTGTTTTCGGTTATGAACATCATCTAGTAGATTACTTTAAAACTATAAAAAGAAAAAATATTGTACGGGGGAAAAATTTGTCGCGTACGTTATTATGTTTTTTTTTTTAAATAAAAACTAACCAGAGATAATTTCTATTAACAAATGGAATGATTGGAAGAAAAACTCCCATGATTCGCAGACTTTCGCATATATGTATATCGTCGTTTAAAGTACAAAACCGCGTATCAGCAGCGTATGTGAGGTTGCATAAATTATTTTCTAGAGGGTAAAAGTACTCATATTTCGAAATTTTTCTCTTTTTTATAAAGCAATCGCATCTCTGGCTTGTATATTTCAGGACGAATGGATAAAGATTGAGCCAAGGGCTTGAGTGAGCAAATCCAATTTTTGGCAGCCAATGTCATTTACGCGGTTTTGTACTTTAAACGACGATATGTGCCTTAAAACCACTTTTTTTTTTGTCGCGTACGTTATCACCTGTATTGAATGGATATTTTCCACACCAAAGTTTCGAGGCTGCTAATTAATATCTTTCTCAAACATAGTACTCTTGGGTTGCAACATAACCGTAATCTTGCTTTTCAGTAACTTCTATTTTTGAGAGATTTATGTTACTCCATAAGCGTACGAATGTCGCGTACGGCTACATGGAAACACCCATATGTTGTAGTGGTCCGATTTAGCCGATTCCAACAAATGATTAGTACATTATAAAAAAACACCTGCTTACAAAATTTCAGTCGGATATCTAAGAGATGGACAGACGAACTTGCCAAAACCATTCAGCTCGCCTGAACATGTTGGTCCACTTTTCATCTCTTATTACTCTAGTACTTAATAACATTGGAAAATTATAAAAATAATAAAAAAACATGAATGTATGGTAAATTGGCACTTACTTTTCTTTCAGTTTTTTGTTAATTTCTATGTAATTTTGTATTTCCTGCTCCGTTTCATTAGCACGCCTAATTATACATATGTATATATATAACGCAAATGGATGAGATGTTTTTCCAAAAATAATTTTTGCTATTACCTCATTAAAATCTTTTGTTCCTTGAGCAAACTATCTTGTCTGCTTATTTTCGCCTCCATTTCGTCCTTATAAGCAAAACGTGTGAGCAAAACGCAAATTTTGTTTTAAATTTTTTTTTATACAGCTCATTTACTAAAAAACTGTTGCAACTCAAAAAACCGTTGCCAATAGCTCCCAAAATGCAGGAAATAGAGTGCATTTTGTCGTCTTATGCAGAAATTTGTACACAAATTTAAGCATCATAAAGGAGTAATGCTAAATTATAAGCTCATAAATCACATTTTTTGAGTTGTGTCAGTATATTAGTAAATAAGTTATGTCAGTGTAATGTGGTTCCTGACATACCAATGCTTTAACAGCGCTTTCCAATTGCAGCGTCAAGCGATCGACTTCTTTTTCACTGGTTTTGTATTTTTGCTGGAACCTATTACAGCGTGTCTCCAGAATTTGGTTGAATTTCTTTTGGTTTTCTATTTCCTCCTCCATCTATTTTTTAAATAAAGTCACGAATCGTTATCGGATAATCTTTTTGTTTATACATACATATATGTATATAGTAAATACACTTATACTTTAAATTACCTTGACTTGAATTTCTAACAGGCTTCGTTCCTTCCCACTAAACTTTCTACGCAAATCTTCCATATCCTTTTCTACTTTTTTTGCCGCTTCGTCCATTACTTGTCCAATTGTTGATGCTAAATTGTCACATTCCTCTTTAACAACCTGCTCCCGTTTTTGTGCGTCTTCTTTGTCCGCCACTGCCGCTTCAGCAATCGAAAGGGCTTCCTGCACCTTCTGCAGCGCACATTTTTCACGCTCATAACGTTCCTCAATAGCACTTTTAGCAAGCTGTAGTGATAATTGGAGTTCTTTTGTTTGTCGTGTTGATTCATTTAGTTTGGCTTTGAGTTTTTCAATTGTTTCACTATTATCTGCGCTGCCCAAAGAACGTTGGTTTTCTTTGTATAAAAAATGAATTTTTGACTGACAGTTTGTTTAAAACTTTCGTTTATCAATCCCAACACTAAAGCCTCTGTTATGCATACTTGCCATTGCTTGAGAGTTATCATATAAGGAATCTGTTAAATGAGCTTCGCGTGTAAGCGGTTACCCAACGCACAGCATTATATACGTAAAAGTCTGTTGGTTTTTGATTTCTACGTAAAAATGGTATAGCAGTGCATGCAATGCCAAGTATGCATAACAGAGCCTTTAATTCTAATAAATATGCATGTATGTACATTAGACCAATCGTTATTTCAACTTTTACAGTTTCTGAATATACAGTTTGCCGGGCGGAAAAGATGTCTTTTGGTCTAAAAATAAGTTGTGCAAAATTTTATTCGAATATGGTAACTCTAAGTACTTGGTCGTTGCATTTGAAAATGCAGCTATTTTTCTAATTGCGATGTGCATAATCATGCCAATGGAGATGATATTTTAATTGATTCTACGACCAAATGTGCTGTACAGTATCGATACCTTGCTCGAATCCAATATCATTAACTAAATTTGCTATAACTTTTTAATTTTTAAATCGATTTGCAAAATATCTATATACAGATATGGGTCAACAATATACTTTGAAATTAAATAAGTTTTAATATAGCATTAAAATAAGAGCGAAAAGTTTGCAGCTTTTGGGTGTAATTCACAGGAGAAAATCGATGCGACTTAATACTGTGTCCGATTTCACCCATAAATTTGCAGTTACATAACTCTTAAACTGATAATTTGACTGCAAAACATTGTATAGCAAGTTCATAGGGATATTTTAGTAACTACTAAAGCTTATTCATTCAAAATTTATATTTACAATAGCCTTTACGGGAAAATAAGAATATATATTTTTGGAAAATGGCCGTAGCCCCGCCCACTTAGGATTAGATGTGTATATCCGGGTAATCGTAGAGGGCACAGAGAAGGCAACATTTTTCGGTAGAAAAGAAAACGCCATGAGCTAGCGATAGGTTGGTTATGCGTAGCTACAAAAAATTTACCAGTAGGTGGCGTAGCTACAAAAAATTTACCAGTAGGTGGCTTGCGAGCTGAGCAAGCAAAATATAAGAAATAAACTACCAAATACCCCTATTAGAAAAATCAAAACAAAAATAAAAGTAAAAACAAATATTGTTAAAGCAAGCTTTCTAAATATGAACGAAATCGGACCATAAATATATCGACTCGTGCGCCACCTATCGGCAAAAATTTTAGTAGGGTTATTCCTTTTCATGTAGTTCATGTAGTACTACGTTCGAAATATGAACCAAATCGGACAATAAATACGGGTTTTTTTTAAACACATATCTCGGCTACTTCGCCACCAATCGGATAAACTCATCTTTCGTATTGCATTGTCATTGGGTTCTGAGCCAACTGTGAAGTTTCAAGTCTCTAGGTTATCGTAGTAGTAGTTTTGTGCTACTCTGATGTAATGCAGAGATGGAGTATATGGTCCTGGCCTAGGACATCGCAATGTTAATTGGACTATATTTTTTATATGAATTGTAGTTAATTTTGGAGTACTCCTTGGTCCTTAGGGAGTACTCTGTACATGCATGCGTGGAGTAGTCGCGATTTTTGCAAGGCAAATTAAATAAAAGCTTGTAAAAAATAAAATAATTTTCAGGTTTAATAGCCGCTGTACGTACCTTCTAATGCTTTTTCCAGGTTTTTGAGGTGCTCATTTGACTGCTTCTTTTGCTGGAATAGATTTTCGATGATTTGTGCTTGTTTTGTAATTTCAGTCTTTTGCGTTTGGATGGTACTTTCGAGCAATTTCGTGGCAGTGTAGTATTTTTGCTTGATCTGAAAAACATCTCCGAAGATAATTTAGGTAGGCCTTCTTCTTAAGTAAAGCCATTCCCAAGAAGGGCTGCCTTCTAGAAGGGCTTATCCAATTACAATTTACGCGAATGCATAAATTTATATTATTTGGCATTGCAAATGAATTTTAATAAACATTTTAAGTTGCAATAAAACATATTTGATATAAACCTTAAGCAAATACTTCAAAGCCCATCCATGGGTAGCGAAAGAAGAAGCACCTTCAATTTGTGCCACTCCATATAAAAAAGAAAGGAGAAAGGAATGTAGAGTGGAAGGCCTCTTAACTCTCAGGCAGGTCATTCAGAAGGGCTTTTAACTCCTGAAATTATCTACTGGGATATGCCTACAGATGCATACATAGTAAATTTGTATTCTAGATTTACAAGTACCTGAAACTGTAATGTAGCGTTATTTTCTGAGCAAAAAATAAAACTCAAGAAATAACGATTATTTTCCGAGCAAAAAAATAAAACTTAAAACGTAACCATTATTTTCCGAGCAAGAAATAAAACTCAAAACATAAGATTATTTTCTGAGTAAAGAATAAAACTTAAAATATGATTAAACTTGTTTTTTATAAGTAAAAATTAAAAAATAAAAATCAGTGCCGCTGAAGGTAATTCGAGTAATAAGAAATATATTGGTTCACTCCTTATGCACGTAGCATTTCTCTTTCAGCGCGATTTTTTGAGTTGAAATTTCAAATGATGCGGTCCCTGGAAAATTGTGATTTTTATATTCAAAAATATCTATTGAGCTTGAGGCCGTTTTTTTTTTTAATGAAAAACTATTGTGAAAAAGCAACAACAATTTGGAAAAAATGGTAGAAGTGATAGCTATTTCGGAAATCACCACATTTGCTCATCAGACTTCTTCAGCGGGATTCGAACCGACGACCCCAGCTGACTCAGCCAGTGATTTTTGGTAATTTTTCTAAGGGCTCCCTAGGGTCCCATAGCGGTCCTAGGCGGTAGGGGACTTAACCATCGCCCATTTAAAAAAGCCAACAAAATTTAATTTTTATATTTTTAGTTATTTTTAAATCTGATATTGATTTTTTTTTTGTGATTTTATTCGCGATGGTATTTGATATCGCTACGATATTGTATATAGCCTTATTTCTTTAAAAAATTACAGACATGTACTTTGAAATAAGGAACAAAATTAAAACTATTATTGGCACCCAAAAATCAACAATCAGGCCCTGCCTTGGTTACTCATCTGCGAAAATTTTTCTCTGCGCTATACCACTAGCGATGTATTTAATCTTAGCTCTTGTGAACTTAATGTATTTAAAACTTATCTTAATTTTTAAGTTTTAGTAGCACTTAATTAGTGTTAGCTGAGTAGTCTGTAAGAATATTCTGTATTCCAAGACTGAAATAAATAAATAAATAAAAATAAAAAAAATAGCCCAGTCGGCTCAAAAAATGTCCTTATAAGTTAATAATTTCTTGTGCCATTTGTAAAACTTGTGAGCAGACTAATTTTTTTCATTTTTTACTAACAGATTAGTGATAAGTATTGTTTACTTACCTCAGCTACGGTACTTGAGTTATATAAAAGATTCCGATAATTTTGTATTTCGTTTTCGAGGTTTTGTATCGTTTTTCGGGAGCTGTTATTCAGGGAACGCAATTCATTATTCTCCTAAAAAGAAAATCGCAAGAGCTATGTATATAAATACACATTAGCATGGGCCGAAAGTCCGCTTTTTTAGAATTTTGATTGGTAATAGCAAAAATATGGTTCATTATGCTCTAAAAAATATCTGTGTGAAATGTGAAAGTTTTTGTTCAATATCCTAGGCTCGCACAAGTCCATCAAAGTTCAAGTACTAAAAAGAAATTTTTAGCTCACTTCAATTCTCTACAAAAAAGGTCAATATACCTAATTATGTAGGACTAATACTTTAGAAGATTATTGCAATTTTAGTAAAAATTTTAATTTTTTGGCTTTATTGAACTTTGATGGACTTGGGCGAGCCTAAGATATTGACCAAAAATTGTCATATTTCACACAGATTGGTTTTAGTGCATAGTGAACCATATTTTTGCTATTACCAATCAAAATTCTAAAAAAGCGGATTTGCGGCCCATGCTAATACACATAAATTTTTGTCATTGAAAACGATGATTGCACCCGTTTTGCTCAACTTACCGCTTCCAGAGAGTCTATTTGTTTTTTAACGTTCAATAATGCATCGTTCGAAAACTTTTCCCTCGTGGCATCATCTCTGGAGTCTCCCTTTATTTGATCAGTAGTTCCTTTAAGAACTTCCAGTTTCGTATTAATTGCTTTATTCTCAGCCAATATGTCCTCAATTTGATTTCTTAGAATATGTTGCTCATGCTGCATTTGAAGTCGTCGATTGCATTGGTCGTGTTAAGATCGTAGTAGAAAAATTTTAGCAAGTCGCTGACATCTACGCGTGCTTTTTGTATGATGTTAAAATCAATTTTATTATTTTGACATACCTTAAAAAGCTCCAAGTCAGTTTGTGTTTGGCTAATTAAGTTTTCACAGGTTTTCTTGATTTCAGCTAAATACCTGAAAGATTTTATGTGACACTTATCAAAAGGTGTTTTCATTAATATTATTTAATAAATTCATTGTTTACATGTAGTTGTAGCCTGGTTCTTCAAGATTAGTTTTATCGTCTCGCGTCATTCTGGCACATATAACGCGAAATTGGTTTCGGATGAATTTGAAACTTTTATAAGTGAAAATAAAAATATACTTTTGTACCTGTACGTTTTGTTTATCGACAATTTTTAGAAGGAAGGAACTTTAGGCTATCCATGTTAAAGCATAAGCCCGAAATCAACCCCAAATGAGCAAATGTTTTGATACCAGGTGCGTCGTTATGGTAACACATGTGCAAACTTAGTTGGTAAACATTAAACACTTTAAATTAAAAAAAAACAATCATGCCGCTGTTTGCGAAAAAGTTCGAATCGAAGCCTATACCAAGTCGTTTGGCCCGTTGCAACATTGGATGTCCTGCTATAAGTGAGGATCTTGAGGATTTCAAGAATATCTCGCTTAACTTGGGAAATAAAGAACTACGTTTCGCTGATGGTATTTGGATACATTCCACGCGGAAATCTGATACGGATGACTTCCTCCGCTTAAATCGACGTATAAGGAATCTTGAAGAAGAGAATAATTTATGTATGCTTAAAATAGAAATATTTTTGGACCTGTTAGCTGAGCAAACCACCGAATTGAATGCTCTTAAGTTGAGGGATAAGTAAATGTTTACAATAAATTTAACATACAGTACAAAGTAAGTGTACATATCGTCGCTACCATGTCAAAACATCGAATGTGAAAATAAGTACTTTCCAAAAAAGCTGTTGTAAAAAATGTTGTTCGTCATTAGGAAAAAGTGTGTCATTCGACACTTTGTTAAAGTTAGTATCATCTGCTTCTAAGACGACTAGAAATTCGACAATTTGCCAAGATATGTATCATTCTTAACGCATACGCAAGGTATCGTAAATGAAAAAGCATTTTTGCATATTTGATAATTTGACATGGTAGCGACGATATGTATGTATTTAAAAATAAATATTAGTGGATATGCTTTCAATGCAAGGCAGAAGTGAATTATCGCGTCCACTTTGTATTTTAATGATGTGTCTTTAACGGGCAAAAGTTCCACAAATGGGTTCGAATAATTTATGGTACATATGGCATAACATAAATTTGGGTAAATAACTTTATTTTTATATTGAGAAACACGTGTACATAATGTGTACTGACACAATTGCATGCATATTCTACTTTATTTAACTTCTAATGTGCGTTGAAATGCTGCTAAAGCCAAAACTTTAATTTTAGTATTGATGCGTGGCGGATGCGGGAAATCGTACTCGCGCGCAGGTAAATTGCACATCTGCCTTCGCAGTTTTAAATCTTGACGAGCACTTAGAGCGCGACTATGTGTTCCACAAGCGTTTGATATGAGCTTTTGTCTTTCTAAACGCTGCATTCGCTCGCCTATCTGTAAACAAGCTAACGGTTGTAAACTCTCTAAGTTGAACGAAATGTCGTCGATTTCATCCAACGGTTTTTGGCCCATCGTTTCCTTTTTGACCTCAGTAATTTCTCTTGGATCTTTACAAATACCGTCCTTGTTTTCTGCAATATCGCATACTGTTGAATCCTTTTCCGTTGAGGCCTTTTTGTTGATTTCTTTAAATTCTTCGGCCAATTTTTGCTTGGATTCTGTTAATAACTGCTTTGCATAGCTTTCTCCTGCCATGCACAGTGATATCCCCATATCTAGTATAATACGATGTGGTTGCCATTTTTGCTTTGCTGTCGTTAGCTGTTCGGTGGCTCCAGGAGCAGCATTTTCTGCTTGAAGTTTCGTCTCTGCAATTAAGGAGGCCCAGTCAACGCCTAAAGCGTCGCCAACACCTAAAATAAGTATGAAAACATGTTTAAAGGCAAATCGCAGGGTGTATTCTGAAAAATGTTTACCTTTGGTTCTAGAATCTTCCTCCAATTCTCCATCCGAAATTTCTTCAAAATCAAGCATTTCATCATCGTCGTGTTTGTCTCCTATGACTCCATTAGCGGTATCATCATTGCTGCGAGTAAAATCATCCTGTTCTGAAATACCATCAACTTTCATGGTAGAATCCTCGTCTGTCTCAGTTCGATACTTCTTCTCCCCTTTGTTGAGAATATCGTCATCGCTGTCGCTTATTTCACTTAATTCTCCACTCGCTCTGGCGTCAATCATTGCCGCATTGCTCAAAACTGAGAAAGGATCACATTTCTTATATATGACGCCCACATCCAGTTTCCTATTGACATCAGCATCGTGTAAAATTTCCCCAGCTTCTGGTTTATCGTCGATAATAAAGATGTCGTGCTGTTGTCGTAAGCACGTAGCTTGTCCCAGTATGCTTGGATTAGTGGTTGCGTTTGCAGCGCTCTGAGCCGCAGCTTTCGCAGCTGCGACAGCTGTGCTAGCCGCCGCTACAGCGCTAGCTTGGGCAGCTGCCTTTGCAGCGGCTGCAGCAGCGTGTTGTTTTTTAATTAGATTAGGGTTTGTATAAGTCATTTTGCTTTTGCTAGGGAATCTTGGGTTTCCTCCAAGAAATCCTGTTGCGGGTGGTTGAACGGGCAACGTCATTAAAGGTGGTGGATGCATCCTTAGCCCCTGCGCATTCCTCTCCGCGTGATCTGACCCCACCGCGCCACCACCTCTTCGAAAATTTCTTCCACCACGCTCGCTGCGAGGATGATGTAGAGATGATGGCACACTACCACTACTTCCATTGCCGCCCATCCTCTGCATTGTTTCTTCATCTTCGCGCCAGTCGTTTTGCCAACGTCGATCTAACCCTTCCGGCCGTGGTGCTGGTACAGCTTTTTCCCGCGATGGTTGTATGTCATGATGCTCGCGATCACCCCAGGTATCTCGTTGCCCCGGGCCTATACCAAAATTAGGTGCATCACGTATAATTGTTGACTCTGGTTTATTTGTATTGGACCCAGAATTTTTTTGTATTTCCTCTGTGTCCCAATCTGGCTCTGAAGGCGCTCTTTGTTCCCGAGGTGGTACCTTTGTGGGACCCGTGATAGAGCCGCCGCCTATTATGGTTGCATTTCGTTTAGGGCCACCTACAAAACCTCCACGACCAGTTATTGGTGGCGTGTCATTCCAATCTTGCTCTCTAGTAACGTCCCATTCGCCCTTCCATTCCTCACGTACCCGTTCCCTATTCCTGATCAAACGTTCCCTTTCATCCGGATAAATAAGTTCGTGCCCTATTTCTCTAAATTCGCGAGTGTCTCGGGTATCGCGTTGGTCTCTGGCATGTATGTCTCTGTCCATAATTTCTCGCGGCCAAGGCCCATCTCGATCCCGCCCGAGATGAGCTTCATCGATAAAAGCTCGGTTGAATGCCCTTTAAAAATGGTGTATAGATTAAAATAAAGTTCGTGAAAACAGTAGGTCATAAGTACCTATCCCGATCTTCTTCCGCATATAGATCGCGTGGTTCCCTCAACCGGGCCGAGTAATGTTCACTTACTGGGCTCAGTTCTCGTCGTCTTGTTGGTAGATATTCGCGTTCGCGTCGTACATCTTCACGATGAAGTAAAGTGCGTCTCTCGGTCTCAATATATTCACGCTCTCTCTCATATACATCCAAATCACGTTTTGACAATTGTCGATTTCTCTCAATAGCTTCCAAGGAACGCTCACGGCTATTGTAGCCTCGTGAAGCCGCAATAGCTAATTCTCTTTCTGCGGGTCGAGGTAATAAGCGCTCTCCCCGATCACCACTTATTCCACCATATTTCTTTTCCTCCTCCTCTCGACGTAGCTTTTCCCTAGCCAAACGTTCTCTTTCACGTTGTCGTTCTTGACATCGCGCTAACGCCTCAGCTCGCTCTTTATCCCTTGCAGCCTCACGTTCAGCACGTTCACGTTCGCGTTCGCGTCTTTCTCGTTCTCTTAATAATTCATCATGTCGCAATTTGTGTTCATGACGTTGTCGTTCTGCTGTGGGCGAAGGTGTGCGTTCCCGGGTTCGGGTCTGAATAATAATCTTCTCGCGTGACATCATTGTGTGATGCATACGAGGAGGACTCTTCTGCCGTTTTACATCCTGGTGAATTCGAATTTTTGTTATTTTAGTTGGAGAGCGGGATCCTGTATGATGGTGTTCTCGGTCACGTTCCCTTTCCCTTGCAACAGCAACACGATGTTTTTCACGTTCCCTTTCGCGGCGTTCTTTACTTGCTGCACGTTGGTGCTTCCGTTCTGCAAGCTTTTTCAGCTTCGCTTGTGTAGTGGGAGAGAGTGACCTATGCCCAATATGGCCACTTAGAGCTGCGGCAGCAGCGGCTGCTCTTTTCTTTAATTTGGCTTCCTTTAACTTTCGTTTAAGATGAATGCGTTTAGCTTCCAGTTTTTTCTGGCAATGTTCACGTTTTTCACGCTTTCTTCGTTCTTCTGTAGAAGAGCTACTAGATCGACGGGATGCGCCAGCAGTTGCTTGGCGAGCCTTTTTTCGGCGATGGCGTTCGCTGTCTGAACTAGAATACGAGCTTCCAGAAGAATCAGACTCCGAGCTGCTAGAACTGTCCGAGCTGGACTGCTGCCTTGACTTCTTATAACGACGTAACGCATCCTTTGATCGCTTGTCCATTATTTTCCCAATAACATAAATCAGAAAACTTTCATTAGTATTTACGCAGAAAATGCAAATTTTTCACTACATAGTCATATTGCCGTACGCATTAATATGGGCGTAGAGAAAAAATGTACGAACTGTAACCATCCCATCTGGTAGCATGGTTGATAGGGCTGCCAAAAGTCCACCTTTCATGTTATTTTTAATGCTGTGTTCGCGGTCTCCATGAACCAAAAATACAAGATCACGTAAGAACGCGACGTTGTATTTGTAACTGGTTTTGAGAAAAAAGTTTGCGAAAGCGGGTTCGTCAGCTGAGCGTATGTTTACATCACAAGCACCACTATTTTACACTTATATTTAAGTAAAGAAGAGTTAATTCAACATGACAACACATTTTCAAGCATTTTATTGCATCATTTTACCTAAATTGTGCGCTTAAAGTGGCTGACAATAATTTTGGCTAACTTTGGTTTTCGTTGTTTTCTTTGCTTTGTTTACTTTTCGCTTGTTTTCCAGTGAAACAAGATGGCGTAGAACCCGCTAAAAAAATCGACTTTTTTCACTCTCTTGTTCTTACGTGATCTTGTGTCTTTCGTTCATGGCGGTCTCTTTGAAATTATGATTTCTTAGGCTACCTGCACACTTGTCGTCCAATCACAGTTGCGTTATCGTCTCGACCCATGATGCAATATTTTACAAGGTGGTATCAGCTGTTACAGCTCGATTTGACATGGCCTTAGCTCAGTAGAATAAGAAGAAAAGCGGGAAGAAATGAATCCCGATTTGGGGGAAAAATATAAGATTTCATATTTTCTTCTAAACAAAATTTGCAATGAAATGAAATAAAATAAGATATTATACCTTTTTGAGAAAACAAAATGTGTAGAAAAAATAAACTATATTATTAGGCAAAGAATTGTTAAAGAAGTAAGTATGTATACGCACATTGTGAATACAGAACTGTTGATTCAACCATGGTTTCACACTGACATTAGAAGATTGCTGCCACATCGAAGAAAATAACAATAAAAGAGAATAGTTTTTATCGTACCCATTTTCCTGTTCAGCGTTGAATTAGTAGTAAAGGAGGGTATGGGGTTAAACACCCCCAATATTTAAAAAAAAAATGACAAGCGCGGCAGGCGAAAATTTTTAATAAAAAATCGTGCGATAAAAACTATTATCTTTTATTGTTGTTTTCTTCGATGTGGCAGCACTCTTCTAATGTCAGTGTGAAACCCATGATTCAATAATACAAGGTTGGATAATTATTGACAGCTGCGGTTTGACACTCCCTTACAAAAGGTTGCATTTACGAAGGACGGAGAAAGGGGAAGAATGAAATCTCTTGTGTGAAATTGGTAGCAGAAAAGTACGCAAAGTAGGCAATTAGTAGTGAAATTCCTTTTGTAAATTCTAATGTATTTGCAGGAAATCTAGTATTTTAAACGAAATGTTGAACGTAATTTTTATAAACTGCAAAATGACTCAAAATTAAAATAAGACTACTATGAGATTGATGTAAACATCCAATTTAAAAACAGTTTATGTTTTCATCAGTTAAATATGCTTCATATGAATATACATATAAACATATTGCACAAAAGCTTATACTTCTATTTCACACCAAATCTACACTGCTTCCATGTAAACTTGCAAAGAAGCAACACTGTGCCACTGCTAAGGGAGCGGTGCGAGAGAGACAACTGTCAGTTTATCGAACCTTGTATTATTGAATCATGGTGTATTAAACAAGGTGGTGTTGGGGCGACAGCTGAGTTTTTCGCCGTGGAGGCCATTACGTCAAAATGATGTGTTTGTTGTGACTCATACCAACGACAGTATGGCCATCAGCGTATAATTTGTTAGTGTAATTTTTTACTTATATACGGCCAACACCACCTTGTTAAATACGCCTTGTATTGAATCATGTGTGAAACCATGGTTGAATCAACAGTTCTGTATTCACAATGTGCGTATACATATATAAGTGCGTGATAATTATAAAAACTTACTTAATTTACTAAAAATAAATCATAAATGTAGAAAATGTGTTTACATTTCATTGTGCGGGGTTTTAACGCAACTATTTTGCCGAAGTGTGTACATAAATATAGTGTTTATTGTGTGAAATAGCGCCGAGAGGTTAGTTCAATTTACAAAATTTAACAACAAATAACTTCAAAACTCCCTCCTACTTCCTCCTGCGGCTAAAAGTATATATATTTGCAATCAGGAGAACACCCCCTACCCCCCCATAGCCACCATTTTTTTGTACGCGGGGGATGCCAAACTAAAATTTTCCCGTAATTTTTGATCACGGCTCTACTTTTTGCTGATATATGTTCCATTTAGTTAAACAATATAAGAATATTGTAGTATGTACAACAAAAATGTATATTTTCTATAAAAAATTATAACCCAGAAAAAAAAATTTTCGCTATTACTGATTTGCGTTGATTGTAGTTCAAAGTGTCTCTTTCCCGGTAAAAAAGTTTGAGAGAAAAAAAAATACACTTTTTGAGAAATTAAATTTAAAAAAAAAAATTGCACTTTTTGTTTATTGTTAAATAAAAAATTTTAAATAACGAAAATCAATAATTATATCATTCTATCTTGAAGTGACAAGAATTACTGACATTTGAGTAAAAACATTGTTGGAATCTATTAAATTTTGACAAAGTTATGGGCATTTAAAAAAAAAAATTCTCACTGTCAATTCGAATAATCGATTTTTGCCTGAAAAACAAAATCGCGTTTAATTCGGGCGAAAAATTTTTCCGAGCCAAAAGAAAAAATACATGTCTCATTATTTGGACCAACAATGTATTTGAGTTTGGACGAAATTAAAAATCATGCTCGTACCTGACCGGTTGCCTGGAAATGGAAAGCATCCACGGTATGTCAGACCAGGATATTCCGTGATGTGACATCAGTCAAGTGCAACACCTGCCTTGGCTGGTGCCACTTTAGGGCATGTTCAGGTCTACGCACCAGGCGAGACTGCGCAGCACAGTCGCAAACCTCAACCGCGACGCCACCCACCACCACCACAGGGCGACAACCACCTCAGCACACAGACAATGGCGACACGACCACACACATCGCTTACACCCCGTTTCGAACCACATGAAACTCCTTCAATTTAACTGCAACGGGCGTCAGAGCAAGATCGAGGAGATAACCGTCTTTATGGGAAGGCATGGTATACTGATAGCTGCGGTCCAAGAGACGAAGTTGCACAGCATTTCAACATTGTTGAATTGTGCCGGGTACAACGTGCACCGTCGAGATCTCGAGCTAGATAATGGTGGTGGCTTAGCTTTCATCACGCACCACACCGTGCAGTATCGTCTTATCGAAGCAGACATCGACCGCAGGGATACCACCACAGAATGCCAGGGCATTGCTATCCGGTCAGGCGATGTTGAGCTCGAAATATTCAACGTTTATATATCCCCTGTCACCTGCTGCCCGGCAGGATATCACCCTGACATAGGTGCGCTCCTCAGAGGTGAAAAACGAATGGTAGTAGGTGACTTTAATGCGCACCACGATCTTTGGCACTCAAGCCTGTCAAACGATCGTCGGGGAACCAATTTGGCTGAGCAGATAGACGATTAGACATTCTGCACAATGAACGACGACGCACCCACCAGGATTATGGGAAGCTGCTGCAGCTCGCCAGACATAACAATAGTCAGCGCTGGTCTGATAAATAGCATATCATGGCGACCTATGTTGACTTTAGCATCAGACCACCTACCCATAGTCATCTCGATAGATAAACCAACCGACTTTGCCTCCGCCAAACACCGGACCTATATCAACTTTTCTAAAGCTAATTGGAAAGGTTACGCGGAGTTTACCGAAAACACCTTCATAGCGCTCCCCACACCAACCGACGTCCATCTCGGTGAACGTAAGTTCCGCAGGGCTGTCACTGCAGCTGCAGCTCGCTTCATACCGGCAGGATGCATCACGGACCCACGTCCAAATTTCCCTGCCGAAGCGGCTGTTCTAGCCGATGAGCGTGACAGCCTTCGTCAGGCCGATCGCGGAGATCCCCGTATCAGGGATCTCAACGCGGAGATTCGGCAACTAGTGAACGTACATAAGCGGAAGAAGTGGGAAGAACATCTGACCTGTAACTTCACCTCTGGTGTGAGTAAGTTTTAGTCAACCGTGAGGTCACTGTCC